ATGAATATCTGTCGACTTTGGTCAACCGCATGGTGGCGGGGATTCCACCTACAATAGTATTCCCAAAGAGGGTTGACGTCAGGCAGGCCGGTCACAAAACCTTGCCAAATCCTTTTGCTACTGATTTTGAGCGTAATAAAACATGTTGCGCCGACTCTAACTGATTTGGGATAAGGGCAGGGGCAGACAGACCACATCATTTATATCGCGTGGAATAAAGAAACACCCGATAAACCCTGGAGCTGGAGCTAGTCTCTGAAGTGGCTGTGTAACGTCCGCTACCTAAGTACCTACCTACCTACTCATTATAGGCCCATATTTATAAATTGCTAGTCAAGTCTATCTAGAGACCGAAATTCGGCATCTCAAGATCGTTACTGAGTTAATAGCTCAATTTTTAACTTTTGAGTCAACAGTTTTTCCCATCCCATCCCTTTTTGTGCTCTTACAACCATGCTGCGCCGACCCTATCTGATTTGGGATAAGGGTAGGCAGATGATGATGATGATAAGTTCTTCCCATTCGTATCCTTATTTATGTAAGAGCCATGCTTGGGGGCCATGTTAAATACGGGTCATAGAGGGCAAGCTTTACAACTTGTCTGTCGTTGTTCAGAAGCCAGTGACCTAAACCTGTGTTTAACGGGGTGACCCCCACCCAAATCATGGTCACCCCAACTAAATGTTTCCATTGTGGAGCACCCGTGACGTGACGAGCTTTTTATGGTCATACCGTGTAGCTTTTAAAGCCCGGAAGGAGGTAAAATGTTGCTACCTCTTGGTATTAGTTGAGGTTTAACTACAAAGCGTTAGTTTGAAACGAGTAACCATAAAATTAAATAACCATAAATTTTGCTTTATTTCTATTTCCGTTAAAGCTGTACAAATGCTATCGTACGTAGGTGGTATTACCGTCACCATACGGTTGATCATAGTCGGCAGATATTCAAAGGCTCTATTCTAAGGCCAAGGTCAAAAACTCTACGTCGCCTTTTACGAAACACCCTGAGTAGAATAGGTGTGGCAGAATTCTTAGCCGCTTCCACTCGGTATAAGAATATCACATCAAAATATCCATCGAAGTCTTCATTCATGCAAATAAATATTTCTTTTCATATGTCTCAGCGATTCCACGCTAAGGCAGAGTAATAAAACGTTAAATAAGTAGGTCAGGAATCGTAATCCTAAGGCCAAAGAACTCTCACACAAATAAGGATAGGGATGGGAAGAACTGTTAAACACAAAAAAAATCAAGGTAGAGCTGTATAAAACCAAGCAAAAATAACATTTATGGGTAATTCGGCCCACAGAACATTTTCACATAAGAAACTCATATAAGACAATTATTTTTTAAGATTTCTCATAATTTACCTCTAGTGAGAAATCCAAAATTTACTAGTGAGTTATTTTTGACTTGATCATTTATCTTATCTATCACACATCCTTCTGAAAACTGATTGAGTATCGCTTTTATACATAGCTACATAATATCACGCAAATATTGCAGTATCGCTTTTATCTTCGATATATTAGTGCCCGATGAAATTTTACTAGTGCCCAGTATTTTCACAAAGCTGATGTGCTACCAAACCTCTAGTCATGAATCAGTCACGAAATTCCACTAAACTAAAGCATGTTTGAATTAATAATGTCAGTGAGTCAGTCAAATTGGCTGAGTACTTGGCTGAGTAAGCTGAAAATAGATCGATACTTGAGTCCACCTTGAACTTGCTTCAAATTCGAAGAATTATGAATATTTAAATGGTTTTACGGTTTTGGTCAAATTGAATAATAGTTTCAGTAGTTCATTTACTCAGAAGAAACTTTTAATGGTAACTGGGATTTTATTTTAGGTTTGCTACAGGTAATCATCGAACTTGCGACTTAATATCAGTGGTCCTTTTAATGTGCAGAAATGTTTCTGATACAACTGGATAAGCTTTTTCTATTATTGATAATATTACCTATTTCAATTGTATCTATGGGTTGTCGATTACAGAAGATTTAACAAAAATATCACACGAGTAGGATTCCAAAACACGACTTTCGGGGAAAAACTGAGCACTTCAATTCCCAACAACTCACAAATTAATGGGCGTTTTCCTGGAGAAAATAAACCGCGTTGTACGCTGCCATACACAGAATTTGAATAAGTGTCGAAATTTGACAGCTAATCCTTTAAGTCTAAGGAGGCGTACAACGCCATTTAGCGTATAGATTTAGTTTCTCCAAAAACGCCCATTGACTCACATTGCACATCACTATAGGCTAAGCAAGCGATGTTGGCATATTGAGCCAAGTTTTCGTATATCCTCATTACAACTCAAATATGACGGTATTTTTGTATGTAGAGCGAAAACCTCGTAAAGATTTCACATAAAAGTTATCGATTGTTTGGATTAAACCGAACAGTTACATAACCACCTCGAATGACTTGAAAAGTAATGTAATGTTTACAAATTATCGTAATTTTATTTATGGCCAAGGCGCTAAATAGTATTTTATATAGTATCTACAAGTAAGGTGAATTAAAAGGCTTCTTCCGGGGCTGTAATAGTTCATGAAACTGTAAAAGAACCTTTTCCATACCTACAAATTTTTGGTCATCTAGGTAGGTACCATTCTGGTACAATTTGAGTCGGACGACTAATAGTAGGTTAGAATTTCTATACAAAAAAATTTTGGGAGTTCCCGTGCGTGTTCCAGGTCGGTTCCGCTTTGGAAACTAATCTTTAGGCTATTCCTTACCTATGCCGAACCGGGGTTTTGCTGGCCTACTTACAAAAAAAAAATGGCAACCGTTTCAAAATTTTTTCACTGGGCAAAATTTTGTTATTTTGTAATAATTCAAAAATAGTAAGAGCTACAAATAACTATTGTATGGAAGATATGTTAAGCGTAAATTTCTGCATATGAATGTTATCAATAAATTTTTCATAATCCAATAGTTTGCGAGAAAAACGTAGCTCAACATGGCAGTTTTTGCTGAAAACTCACAAATTAGAAAGAAAAAAGTAAGTAGTGAAGTTGGGGATTAAGAGTCACTCGCTGTGTGGGTAGACCATGCTACAATATCCTGCCTGATATTTAGTAACAAGCTTTCCGCCCAGCGGTTTTACCCGCTGATATATTTTGAAGTAAACAAGTTAATTTTATACAAATTTTCGTCCTCTGTTTTACAACCTTAGGTGATGATTTTTTTGGAATCCTTTCTTTATATTAATTAAGATTATTTAAATAACCTCTGTGCAAAATTTCAGGGTCCTAGGTCCAGTAGTATTGCCTGTGCGTGGTATACAATTTGTATGAAAAAAGTAGAGTTTGTTCGTTGTTGCCACATTTTGTTCTTTTTTGCTATCCTAACAGGATCTTGGGTCAGAACTATTAAAGAACAGCCTCAAGGGATTGCAAAAAAATAAAAATGTGGCAACTACGAACAAATTTAATATTTTTTTTACTTATTGTAAATCTATGCACAGGCAATACCACTGGACCTAGGTTCTTGAAATTTTGCGCAGAGGTTATTTTGGTTGGGTGAATTAACACCAGGAAAGGAATTTAAGAAAATCATCTCATAAGGTGGTAAAACTCAGGGTGTAAATTGGCAAAAAATTTGCTTGTTTACTTGAAAATATATTAGCGGGTAAAACCTCTGGGCAGAAAGCTTGTTACTAAGTATCAGTCAGGATACGTGCAAGGTCTACCCACACAGTAAGTAATTCTTAATCCCCAACTTCACTACTTAATTCATATTTTAGATTTGGTGAGTTTTTAGAAAAAACTGCCATGTAATTAAGCGTTTTTTTCGCAAACTATTAGATTATCAAAAAAGTTATTAGAGCAAAGTTGTGCAGAAATTTACGCGTAACATTTCTTCTATACAATGTTCATTTATAGCACTTACCAGTTTTGAGTTATTACAAAATAACAAAATTTTGGCCAATAAAAAAAGTTTGAAATGGCTGCCATTTTTTTTTTGTAAATATGCTAGCAAGGCCCCGGCTCGGAATAGCTAAAGTATAGCCTAAAGATTCGTTTCCAAGGCGGGGCCAAACTCGGGAAAAAACGGGAACTCTCACTTAAGCGATCTTACCTACTATAAGTATCTCTTAACTTAAGACAGATAGAATAATGGTACAAATCGTGCGACGTATGGAAATGACTTGGTCGTTGTATTTGAAGGTTTAGAAATTCCAGACGTCATTTGAATACTACGTAACAATATTTTGACTTATGGGAAATTATTCAGTTTTATAGATTCCTTCACATCTTAAAATATTTTTAGTTATTAGGTACCACTCATTTTATCCTATCAAAAATATGCTTCAAACATAACTTTAGCAGGTATCGTTATTAAAACTCAGACAAAGGAATAATTAAAATCTACGCAGTGCAAAATAACCTTGTTTTAAAATAGCTGCACAAAATATCTAATCGGATGTTGTGAATTATGTTCGTATGTTCATTCGTCTATCCATAACGGTAGAGGAAGCGTTTATAACGATTTGTTTTACATCCTCAGTGTAGAAAAAACACAGTTAGATAAGTAGGTAGGTGCTTGTAGCATATTATACAATTTATTGAAATAATAAACATACCTTCATTGTCATATAAATGTCATATTTGAACACGTGTTTAAAAAATGTCTTCATACAAAAAATGCGTTCAACGCGCATCTAACTTTTTTGAAATAAGGCCCACAAAGACTGTCTACTATTAAAAGCTACATTATTTTGATATTATCATTAATAGCATTAGTAGCCCACTGCTGGACATGGTGCTCCCACTTGGAGGGTATTATTGTTGTAAATTAAATAAAAATGCGTTCAACGCGCATCTAACTTTTTTGAAATAAGGCCCACAAAGACTGTCTACTATTAAAAGTTACATTATTTTGATATTATCATTAATAGCATTAGTAGCCCACTGCTGGACATGGTGCTCCCACTTGGAGGGTATTATTGTTGTAAATTAAATAATGAGAAAATTGAAAAATTCATCAGCGACCGCCGGGACTTGAACCCGGGACTGTGGATAACCGTTCCACTCCACCGCTCTTCTGACTGAGCTACGGGCGCCTAGCGGACCCTGTTGAATCTTTCAACCTCTTGATGCTCGTCTCGAAGCGACGATCCAGCGACATCTGCAGAAAGTATTTAGAACTTTAAAGTTCTATCCTAGTATTTAGAACTTTAAAGTTCTAAATACTTTCTGCAGATGTCGCTGGATCGTCGCTTCTATCCTAGTATTTAGAACTTTAAAGTTCTAAATACTTTCTGCAGATGTCGCTGGATCGTCGCTTCGAGACGAGCATCAAGAGGTTGAAAGTACCTATTTAGAACTTTAAAGTTCTATCCTAGTATTTAGAACTTTAAAGTTCTAAATACTTTCTGCAGATGTCGCTGGATCGTCGCTTCGAGACGAGCATCAAGAGGTTGAAAGATTCAACAGGGTCCGCTAGGCGCCCGTAGCTCAGTCGGTAGAGCGGTGGAACGGTCATCCACAACGGGACGGGTTCAAGTCCCGGCGGTCGCTGATGAATTTTTCAATTTTCTCATTATTTAATTTATGAGAATAATATTGCGCTGTGAGTGCATTGAAAATTCCAATACATTATTGTTGTACTCATCACGCTTAGCAGGCAGATTGGCGAGCGCGGTTCAATATTTTGTAATCACAGGAAAAGCTACTGATCATTCCCTGCATGAAAATAACGGTTAGTCCCTTTTTACCCGACTGCCTCAGAAGGAGGGTTATGTTTATCGAGAGTATATATATGTATGTATGTATGATGATGCAATTCCTGATTTTTCATTTTACGAAATTGTGTTTTTATTAAAATAATTAATAGTTCACAAGTTTAAGATAATTTTTAGATATGTTTTTCATAAATAGTTTCATTCTGGTGGTAAACGTATGTATGTAAGTATGTATGTATGTATGTATGTATGTCTCGGATGAAAGAAACCCTATGGATCTGAAGTAGTTGTCTATAGGAAAAAATGTTATACATATATGATGCGTTTTGACGGTAAACTTATATACGTAATGCGATTTCCTTCTTATTTATGGTTTTCTTGGTAAGCCGAAAGAGACGACACTAATTTTGACAGTTAGCATTTCGGAAATTATTTTCTGTGACGTCACCGTAACCATTCTTCGTGGCAAATCTGCCATTACAAAAAATACGTGTCTGTGGTAGCTCATCTGTCAACAAGCGTTGAAATATTTTTTTGTTGTTGAATATAAATAAGTACGTAATCATTTGTGTGAAAATTACTAATAAAAAGTGAAGAAAAACGTATATAAGATGCCCCGGTGCAGCGTTATTGGCTGCGGCACCGATAGTAGAAAAATGCCGCCGGATATAACATTACACCAGTAAGTACTGCGCATTTCATTGAAATATCTCAGTATTTTTCAATTTCTCAAGTGTGCTTGCTGTAAATCGACCTATTGCTTTACTATTCATACAAATACAGTCCATATTTTTATTTAGATTTGATAAAAAGTGGTTAAAATTTGTAGAAATGTTTTGTATGGGATTTAGTGATGTAGGGTTTGTTCCCGTATCGACTATCGATGATTCGGTTAGAGTGCACTTGGGCGGGCTGCCATACAAATGACCTTTTTACTAAATTTTCTAAGTGTGTTCCGATGGTTGAGGCGTACGAAAGTAGGCTACTTTTCTCGTTGGTCCCAAAATCGATATGGGCCTCCCGATTTTTTGACGTTCCGTCAAAAGTGGAAAGAGTAGATTATATACAACAACTTTTGCCTACAAAGTTTTAGTCTGGGGCCTTTGGGTTAGCCTTTAGGGCCCCGCAGACCCTTTAACTGAATAAGAACCGGCCGGCAAGGGCCCCCAGACGAAACTTTGTAGACAAAAAATCCCTGGAAGCCCTAGGGAGGATTTTTTTGTTCTATGCAGAGCCCCTAGTTGCACTCTAACCGAGAAGGTTTAAAAGTGAACATTTTGAAATTTTGCTTAGTGCTGTAGCCGCTAAATGCACCTCAACTCTTGATACCGAAATCTTGCGGTAACGGTCGGGATTCTTGCGAAACAGTGTGAGATTGGCTTTATCCCGCACCATCTCGCAATAATCCCGCATAATTCTGCAACCCACAAGAACCAGGCACATACTTATAGACATACCTATTCTTTTCAGTTTACCTAAGATGGAAGAAAAGCGAAATGCATGGCTGGAAATACTTGGTGTGGAGAATATAGACACTGCAAGAAAGCATATCATTGAATATTCACAACATTTTGAAAATTCCTGTTTTTACCGAACAATGAATAATTATAGTAAAACTACGAGATGGAGCCTTGTCATCACATACTCTACTGGTTGATATTTCAATTTATTAATTATTCCGCCTTCATTACATTTATTGTTTCTGATTCAAATGGCAAAATTCGTCTGTTCTCAAATAAGTCGGGTTTTCCCACTTTTTACAATGAAAACTGTAATTTTTTACTTTTGATTGGCTGAATAAAATAATAAAATTGCAATCTGTTGTAATCTATTTCGATTATTGTTCACCACCCCATATTTTTACTTAAATATATTCAATTTACAGAATCAAGCTGCCTACAGTTTGACTATACATTGATAATATCGATATCGATAATTTTCTTCTTATACTCTAGTAACATCCCTAGTTCAATCCGCCATTACAAATTACCATCAAAATAGGCAGGCACGTTTTTTTCGTAGGAATTTCAGATCCATAGGGTTTCTTTCATCCGAGCAATCGCACACTATTTGCTTGTGAGATACGAATAGGCCGGGTCATTCTAGTTATTGTAAATATAAAAGTTTTTAAATATCGATATAGTTACTGTAAGATGATGTCTGTTACCTAATTACGCAATAGCTTAAGATGAAAGTTCCCTGAAGTAGTCCTTGAATAAATCAATAACCGACTTGGCATCATGGATCTCACAACTTTTTACTGTAGATGAACTAAGAGGCGAGACTTGGTTCTTTTTACAAGTAAATGTTTTTGGTGGGATTCAATTTACAGAATTAAGGTGCCTACAGTTTGATTATACATTGATAATATCGATATCGATAGTTTTCTTCTTATACTCTAGTAACATCTCTAGTTCAATCCGCCATTACAAATTACCATCAAAATAGGCAGGCACGTTTTTTTCGTAGGTATTTCGGATCCATAGGGTTTCTTTCATCCGAGATGTATGTGGACAAGAAAATTCTTTTTCACGGGCTATAGCCCAAACGGATAGTTCGATTTTAACATATGAGGTGTCGTTAGATTTGTCTCAGCAGCGCAAGTGACACTGGCTATATTTAAAAAAATCATAAATTCAAGATGGCCGATTTTTATCGCAAAATACAACTTTGTAATTACCGCAGTCGGGTTTTTGTTTTTTAATACATCAGCTTGTTACGTTACGACACCCACAGATCGAATTAGGTTGATGCTATTCTAAGCCGTCATAACACGGCAAATAAAGCCAGTCATACAAAGCCTAATTCTCTGCCTACCCCTGTAAAGATCAATGTACTCATTTACCGATAAGCGATTGCCATTCACTAGACATATTTTGTCTGTAGACAATTAATAGTATACGATTTGTCTGTCGTAATTTATTTGAAATCGATTTGATTGTGCTTGTACAAGAGGGCAGACAGACAAAATTGATTTAAGGCAAACATCATGCGTCTATGGTGTATTATTAAATAAACATTATGAAAATAGAGCTTTTATTTAGTAAATTCTGGAACCACAGATAGAAGACATGAAAATATAAGTACCCAATTTATGAGACGTAAAAACGTCTATATCCCTTGCGGGGTAGGCAGAGCGTAAACGGCTGTAAAATCTGCTATTTACACCACGTCTGACAAAAGTTTGTGAGTCATTCAGAAGACTGTGTATCACCAGAGAGGCAGGTTGTCAGCCTGTCGCCTGAAATAGCACAAAAACTCTCAAATCCCTTTAACACCTACGGAAAAGATATGGGGTGACGTAAAAATAAAAGTTATTGTAGGAATTGAACCAGCCTGGGAAAATGAAACTTTCTTTAATGGCGAATAAATATGATGATGATGAATTGATGATGATGCATGGATGATAAAATGGGTCAATATTTGAAAACCGTTCTTCGGGTCCCTTGACTGGCGATTTTTTTATTTTCGTTTTATGGTTATTTTAATATTGCATAATTATTAAGACCTTAATTCGAAGTTATTAGTGAAAAATCACTTAAATCGAACCACACGTTTCGTCAAAATTCAATTTTGAAATTTGAGGTGCCAGTCAACGGGACATTTTGCGCCAGTCAAAGGACAAAATGAGCTGAAACTCTTAAAATTTGCTTTTAACTAACTAGAATTGAAATAAAAGACGCCGCTGCCAATCAGGCACACAACAGAGACACCACGGAATACCTGAAACATGACGAGCCAGCTTGAGATATGGCGCAGCCAGCCTAAGAGAGCAATAGGCAGCCTGAGAGGCAAAGCAGTGAGCCAGAGAGACGATGTAATCATCCTGAGATATGACACGGCTAACCTGCTACATGACACGGCCAGCCCGAGATACGATGTGGACAGCCTTAGAAATCACGCAGACAGCCACATCCACGAAGCCATCAGTCTGAGACAAGACGCCAGCCCGAGTGGCCTGTACCTGTAATGCAACGCAGTCAGTCTGAATGAGTCATGACACGGTCAGCCTGAGATACGACGCGGTCAGTCTGAGACACGACGCGGCCAGCCTGAGGTAAGATGCGAACAGCTTGAGAAACGATGCAGCCAGCCTAAAACACAATAAAGTGCGCTTGTGATAAGAAGCAGCAATTTTGAGTGACTACTAGGCATCCTGTGACACAGCGCAGTCAGTGAGACATAACGAGGCCAGCCTGAGACATGAAGGAGACAGCTGAAACACAATGAAGCGTATAATGGCTGTAGGTTTTGTGCAAAACTAGAGCAATCAAATGCAGAAATTTCATCGTAATAATGCAGTGTATAGTCAGTCAGTTATACATGAAGAAACGTCTTGCTAGCAAGCACACGTGTAATTCTGTAACTATGGTGATTTGACTAAAGTTGTGCAGCTCTACACAGGTAAAAACCATACATTAGTAGGAACAACGAGCACCACAATGAAGCCAGCCCAAGTGACTACTAGGTTGTCTGAGACACGACGTAGTCAGTCTGAGAGACGATGCAATCAGCCTAAGACACGACGCGGCCAGCCTGAGACACGGCGAAGTCAGCTTGAAAGACGACACACACAGCTTAAGAGACGATGCAATCAGCCCGAGACATAGCCCGGTCAGCCTGAGACATGACGCAATGAGCCTGAGACACGACACAGTCAGTCTAATCTAAAAATACGACGTAGTCAGCCTAAGAGGCGATGTAATCAGATTAAGATATGATGCAGCCAGTCCAAGACAACACTAGGCAGCCTGAGACATGACACAATAAACCTGAGACACAGCGTAGTCAGTCTGAAAGACGATGAAATGAGCCTGAAACACGACACAGCCCGCC